AAAAACAGTGACTTCCCCCCTTTCGCATTGCTTTTTTCTGCACTAACCCCTTTTTTTTTCTCTCTTTTAACCCTGAATATCTAGATGGATAGAGTTACGTCAAAACGAGTTAAAAATAATGTGTTGATAGAAAAAAGTGGTGACAGTGAGAAGAAGGCCCTTAACAGAAGAAGGACAAACATGAATAAAAAAAAAAACGTCCTTCTAAATGACGAATCGAAAAATGATGAAGCTATTAAGAAGAATTTGAAGAGAGTGAAAAATGAAAAGATTTCAAAAAATGCAAAAGACAAGTTGGAAACCACCTGCTTAATTAACACCAGAAGCAGAGAAAATGACAAAAAGGACACCATATATAAGGGGATAGAAAAGGAGAAGAAATACCCCCATGCTAGCAGGGTTACTTCCATTAAAAGCAACAATGCAAGTGCTAATCATGGCGGGGAGAACCGTCTGGGCGACGGGAAAAATGACAATGTAAAGAGTTCAAATTACACAATTTTGAACTATTTTAAGAGCAAAAGCGCGACGGATAAGTATGGCAGCAAGGCGTCCGGAAGGGGAAATTCGAAGGTCGCGAACGATAGCAAGGCACGCAATGGAAGCAATAACCGCGCAGACTACAGCGCGAGCAATAGCGCGCCGAATCAGGCAGTCAGCCAGACGATCAGCCAAGCGGCCAACCAGACGACCAACCAAACGATCACCTGCTACGCGAACGGCGCGAACCAAACGAATTATCTAAAGATGAAAAATAACATCGAGCACAACCTGATGAATTATAAGAAGTGCAAGTTAAACCAAATGCACGCCGAGAATTTCAGCATGGACTCCTACAGGTCGAACAACTCATCTAATAGCGAGCTGTACATCGGATCGGAGCAGAACAATTTGTATGCAAGCAACCAGGAGCACACTATTGGTAGGTCCTCCATGCAGTTGAAAGAAAGCAGACTGCGCAGTAGCATCGGTAGAGCGGGGGGACTGCATTCTAGTTTGAAGAGTGGCAACATGTTGGACCTCCGCAGTAATATTTTGAAGGGCCCCCTACAGTTGAGCGATCTGTACAGCTCCAGGAATGGAGATTCGTCCACCGTGTTGACTAGGAATTCGTTATACAAATGTAAGGAGGAGCGTGTGGATGGACTAGATCGAGCGAATCGGCTGGATCGACTCGATGGGGTAGATCGGGCGGATCGGGGCGAAAAGGGATGCTGTGCCTCCGGAGCGGAAAACCGATTCATCATGAGTAGGAGCCTGGGAACCGGATTGAACGGCTTAAGGGGAAAGACGATTTCCCACGTGGAAGGAAGCCGAGGAGGAATCGGCGCAACCGATCTGATGGTGAATGGCGAAGGAAGGCGCAGTGAAGCTGGGTACAGAGGCACCGACATGAGACGAAGCGGTGACCAGCTCTACAGTTACAAAGATCGGAATAAGGACTACCTAGATTCGATAAACCTGTCAATCAATCGAGAAAGCGAGAAGGCTAGGGAACTCCTTGGCAGATCCCTCCCCAGCAGGAATACGATGAACAGCACAAAGTTGGACGAAGAATATTTTTCCAACAATATATTGAATTTTGAAAATTACTGCTCCGATCGATTTAAGAGAAGAATCAATAATAACCTTATCAACAACATCTGTAGCATGTACGAGGATAAATCAAATCTGGAAGACTTCATTTCCCGGAAGAGGCGAGAAGGAGGGGTGTGTAAGTCGAAGGAAGATTTTGCAAAATACCGAATGGATGATAGCTGCATGGTAGGAATTCGAAATGATCATTTCGAGGGGGAGCAGCTTTTTAAAAGGCCACGCATGTCCTTGTATAACAGCCTCCTAAGAAAGAGCCGATTTGAAGGTGGAAAAAAGGTGGAAAAAAATGATCGGGACAGCATATCAGAACTTCTCCTCCATCATCAAGATTTACTCATAAACAAGAGGGAAAAAATTGTGGTAAGTAAAGATGTAGAGGATACGAAGGATATCATCGTAAAGAAGTATATAAAGAATTTTTGGCTACTTAGTCGAAAGGACTTTTTTAGTAAGTACTGGAATGCATCCCTCGAATTGAGCAGTATAGAAGTGGAGAAGATGAAAGAGTTGATCTCGCTTCCACCGAATGAGCCGTGCACAATTGATGATCTGTTTAGTAAGGACAATGAGATTGTTGATGAAGACCAGCTAGTGAAGGATTACGTTACGGATGAGAAGCTGAGGAATTTCCGCCTAGACCTGATCGATGGCTTCCTCTACGACAAGCAGTCTCTATACGAGAGGGAGATGGTTGAAAATGAGAAGATATTTTCACACATCTCCTTTAATCACAAAAATTCAGACATCAAAGTGGACAAGCTGTTAAATTTGTTTCCTCGAGATTTCATGAGGAAGTACAAAATTGTGAAGAAGTTAGGGGAAGGGGTTTATGGGAAAGTCTTCAAGGCAGAGTCTTTGGAGGATTCCTATCTGCACTTTGCCGTCAAGGTGTTACGTTACTTCTGGCCCAACTTCAAATACAAGTTCGGTTCTGAGGAATTCGCCATTAACGAGTTTAACATAATGCGGATTTTATTCCACCCCAATGTTGTATGTCTGTTGGATAGTTTCCGTGTGCACACATATCGGAAGAGCAAAGTGAAAACTCATCGGAACCAGAAGACGCGCAATGAGACGGTATCGGCTGAGTACGACTTCAGTTTTCAGAGACATCGGAAAGTGGAGCGCAATCAGCATTCCCCATCCCGGGACACGATCGAAAGGAACAACAAGTATAAGAATTTAATTTCGAAGGGGTGCATAACGATTGAAGATTTGGAGAAGGATCTGGTTATGTACAACATTGATAAGGAGGAGAGCCTGAACGGGGATCCCAAGTTGGGCAGTCACCTCAACAGGACGGTCAAAAGTTTGAGGAGCTACCACACAGAGGGGGGCAGCGAGTACGGGTCGACCAACGTAAGGAAGGATATTCATAAGGATCGCAGCAATGACCGCATTAGCGACCAGAGCGGCAACCTCAGCAACGAGCGAAGCAGCGACCTGGCCGTGTTACACGCGAAGAAGAAGGTCAGAACGGCTACCTTCAACTCCTCCGCCATGGCCCACCCCTCCGAGCTGCAGAGAATGAAGATGAGCAGGACCAGCAAGATGAACAGGACGAAAAAGATGAGCATGGCGAGCATGGCGAAAATGACCAGCATGGCCAGCAGGACGAATAAAAGCATCGATAAGTTAAAGTTTAGGAAACACTCGAGGAAGCTCAAGAAGATAGAGAATAAGAACAACGATTACATTGAAAACTGGGATCTCTTCCTCGTCATTGAAAAGTGTGACTGCAGTTTAAATGACATTTTAAGCAAAGCGAAGAAGAGGCACACCTCCTTTATCCAGCATATCAAACAGTGCACAGCGCAGCACTTGCCGAGTGAGCGAATTGATATGTCTTATGACCACATACACAATTATGTAAAATATGTGTATCTGCCATTGAAGAAGATTGAGAATCGGTCCTTCTATCCGGACATGCCATCCCTGTCCGAGATACAGACCAAGGTGATCATATATCAGATGCTTCAAGGGATTAATCACTTTCATAAAAAATTTGTAATTCATAGGGATATCAAGCCAGCCAATACTCTCATCAAGAATATTAAGTACCTGTCGGATGGGCTGAACGATTCAAAGGAGTGGATCGTGAAGATTGCCGACTTCGGTTTGGGGGTCTATGATCACTTCTTAAAGGCGGAGACGAAAGATTGCAATATTATTACACTGCAGTACAGGCCACCCGAAATTCTTTGCAACAGTACCATGTATAACTATTCAGTGGACATCTGGTCCATTGGCATCACCATGTGTGAGTGCCTACTCGGGTTCGTGCCCGTCACTTCGAAATTTGAATCCTCCGTGTTGTTCAAAATTCTGGTCTTTCGAGGCATCCCGGATGACGACTTTGGCAATCTATTGAAGAAGGAGTTCGTGGGGGAGCTTCCTCAGTTCAAGGTGGACCGCCTGAGGATGCTGGAGGTGATTTTTACCGATATATATGGGCGTAGACTGCTGAGCGATCACGGCATTGATTTGATTGATCAATTCCTCAGCTATGATTACAAGAACCGCATCACGGCGAACGACGCGCTCAAGCACCCCTGGTTCGAGGACGTGCACCTCTACCTCAACGAGCGGCTGCTTCGTTACTACAAGCGCACGGGCACGTACTACTTCTAGGGGGGAGGGGTAGAAGTGGTCAGGCGGAGCTCAAGCTGCGACGCACTTCGCGGCCAGGTATGCCAACTGTAGGGTGACCCATTTTGCCCCATTTTTTACGTTACACCATTTGTTCACGTTCGCACAGAGGTCGACTTGGCACGAACCGCTAACGCGGGTGTCACACGCGTCGACGCTGTTGTGCTATCCAGATACACATATATATTCTGGGCGTCCTTCTATTGCCCATCCATGCGTTCATTCCATTTTTTTTAAAATCGTCCCCACGGATGCTCAAGTCGACATGTCCAACTCGACATGTAAGTCCAACTCGACATGTAAGTCTAACTCAACCTGCATGTCCACGTGTGCACCCCTACGTGGGTGCGGACCTTTCTGGCAGTCTTCAACTTTTTTGTGTGCAAGTGCGAGGACAACGCCCGCCACGCCTGCGCGTGGGGCCCTCCCGCAGATTTATTGTTAATTTTTTTTTCTCTCTCTCTCCTTCCCAAGGGGAGATATGAAGAAGAGGAGGATTAAGCGGCGCTGCGCTGTGTCGCGGTTAATGTGTCGTTACGCATTGGAGCATTAACTGGTGATGCGTCACCTGTGATGTCAAGTGTTTTTTTTTTTTTTCCTACAAAACTCGTTGTAGAAAGTTGGAAGGAGTGGGGAAAGACAAAGCAACCCACAGGGTGTTGTACGTACAAGTGGTAGACAAACGTGGCACCCACACGGGGTGAAAAAAACTCTTAAAAATTGTGACGAAAGGGTGGACGCGACCCTAAAATTCTTTTATGTTTCTTTTCGCTCCTGTCCGTGTGTCCGCTTCATTCACCCGCTCAAGGGAGAAAGAAGAGGAAAACGAAGAAGACGACGCACAGGGAGAACTTCCAACAGGTAGCGCAACTCCTGTAGAAGTTATTCTTCCCAAATGGGTCACTAAAGCCGGAGTGTTTCGCATAGGGCCTTGAGGAGGAACCCCTTTTGTTTGGTGGTGGTAGCCTCCCATGGGATTGCTTAAACGTGTGAAGTTCTTTACTCTCCTTCGGTTGCGTGTTCTTCCTTTTGTCTTCCTCCTCATTGTCGTCTTTGTAATTTTTTGGAGGCTCAATAACCTTTCTGGAGTGAATAATCTCAGGGGAAATCTTCTCCGTAGTGATAATGAAATCCATTTGGTTGTAGCTGTCCGTCCCTTCACTCTTCTTTGTATTGCATACACACTTGAAGTAGAGGTATTTTATATTTTTCCCCTCGAGGATGGCGTTAAAATTTTTGAAGACGACAAACCTGGTTTCGCTTATGTAGAGGTTGTTCCCATAGGGTAGCTTCTTCTTTATGTAGCTGTACAGGAAGGGGACCTTCTCCGGGAAGACGGTATGGATGGGAGAGGATTTATTGGAGTGATCCACTAAGGTGAGGGTGCATGGGGGGGTCGTAATCTGCAGATGTGTTTCGCACACCATCCCTATGTAGCTCGTCTCACTAAATTCATTTATCAACAACTTGACGTTTTCCTGGTAATTCTTAAAGTACTTATAGGTGATGTCAAATGAGGAGGAGAAGTTTGTTCCTAAGATTTTCTTCATGGGGTTCATATTTTTTTGCAGCCTCAGGTATGCAGCCTTGGTCCTTCCCTCCTCCTGCTTACTGGTAAAGACAATTTTGGCGGTTCTATTGCTAGGGATTGTATTAGGGATGAAAATGGTAACTTGATTTTTGCTTACTTCAACGAGCTCGTTGATGTTGGACGTGCTGAGTAGGTTGTGGAGAGAAATGTGAACCCCGTTGTAGATGACTCTGGATCCTTTCACGAGCTCATTATCCACTTCCCAGTCTTCTTCATCAAAAAGGATTACTATTTTGGTTTTCCCCTGGACAATGAAGTCACACAAGTCGTCTGATCCGATATCGCATGTGTCTTCCGTGTAGGAGCTTTCCAGAGTTAGGGAGACTAGAAGCTTTTCCTTCTTCTTCTCGTTAACAAATGTGCAGGTGCTCCCCTTTACAGTGGTGTGATCTATTATGTATCGATAAAAGAGGAAGGTGTAGAAGGAGAGATTCTCCTCCTCCACTTGATCCTTCTCCAGGTAATACAACGTCGTTCTGTCATTGTTGTACATGTCGTTGGAGACAAAGCAGGTGGAGTCCTGCATTTCGTACTCTGTCGGCACGACGACATTGAAGATGATTTCGTCCTCATTCTCCGGGTTTACGTCTGTGCCTTCCATGTCGATGTTGCACTGCTGGTTGGTGAAGGTGCTGGCCACGTATAGGCTGCCCCCCAGGCGGAACTCGCACCCGGCGGCCTTCTCGAGGAGGTTCTGTGGGGGGGAGGAGCGAAGTGGGAAGGAAGTGGGAAGGAAGTGGGAGCGAAATGAGGAGGAAATGGGAACGAAGAGACCACCAAATGGGAACCGCATAAGACGTGGAATGTACTAAAAGAAAGAATAGAAGCGGTCGCTATGCAGAGCATGTAGTTGGGGGGACTCACCTCGAAGATCTTATAAAACTGGGGTCCCAGCGGGGCGAAAGGGCCCCTCTGGTAAACCACCACCAAGGAAGTCCCGCTTTGAAAAAGTGAAACGTGCGAGCAGGGAGAATCCGAAATGGGCATCTCGATCTCGCTGTTCATGCTAGTTGAGTTAAAGGACCAACCGATGTAACACTTTTCCTTCATCTCGTAAACGATAGATTGAAACATCCGATTGCGCAAGACAGCTCTATATTGAATGCTTTCCGTCTCTTTAAGTGCTTTGGAAAGAATATCACACGTATACCCCCCCTCACTCCCTTTGCTGCACCGCAACTCGTAATCATTGTCCTGCCCGACATCATCGAAGAGGTTGAAGTAAACATACTGCTGATTAAACTCGACGTGCATTTTGTACCTCCCCATAGGGATATTCGTTTTTAAGACAAACTCGATGGCATTTTCGTCCTTCATTGTTAGTCCATAATCGAAGGAGAAGGAGCAGAGGATGTTGTTGCTTCTATTCATACCACAGACAACGACCGATTTTCTATTTTTAAAGACGTACGTCACTCTGGATGTTACATTTCCCATCTGCACGATCTCATAGTTAACGCCTATTTTGTACGTGTCAGTGGATGGTTCTGTGTACTTATTAAAAACAGTGAGTCGTATTTTCTGATCGTAAGAATAAATCAGAATGAGTTTCTCGGAGATATAGTCATCAATAAAGGTATACGTATCGACCTTCTGCTTCGTTATTAATACCTCTGTTGGTGTTTCCCATTTGAGATGTTCCGAGTTGTAGGCCCGAAGCACCAACCCGTAGTAATCTCCTTCCCCCACGAAGAAGCAGAAGTATAGAGGGTCCCTCCTCAGCAGAGGTATAAATCCGCTGTGCTCGCAGTTGTAGGGAGACTCCACGAAGAGCTCCCCTTCTTCCTTTAATATCGGTGCGAACTTATCCAAATGCCTCGCCCGCATGAGTAACCCCTCGCCCAACAAAGCGAGGCACCACAGGGCACACTTGAGAAGTCTCATCTGGATGAAGCTCAGAGTGACTCACTGAACGGATGTGTGACGCGCCTCCTCGAATTTCATCCGCGCGAAGGGGCTCTCTCGAATGAAGGGAAAGGGACAAAAGGGGGAGGTCCTTCAATTTGATGTGTCTGCTTGGCAGGCACAACATGGAGATTAAAGGAGAGAAACAGAGAGAGAGAAAAAAAGAAAAAAAAAAACAGACACGTACAAATACGACGAGACGAACTAAGAGGAGCGGGATAGCAATGCTAAAAGGGGATCCTTACACATGTACACACCGCTCCCTGATGAGGTTTCCTTCCAGAATTGTTCGCGACATAGTTGTATCCGGCGGAGTGGTACACGTTTGACGCAATTTTCATAGCGTACGACGGGAGAGGGGTGCAGGAAGGCGTGTGCAGGGAGACGTCCACAGGGAGACGTCCACAGGGAGACGTCCACAGGGAGACGTCCACAGGCAGACATCCACAGGCAGACATCCACAGGCAGACATCCACAGGCAGACATCAACAGGCAGACATCGACAGCCAGACATCCACAGCCAGACGCGTACACAGACACCTTTATATTTTCACGCTTGGGCGGACGGAACCTTCCTGTGGCAAAGCAAACTGGCGGCGAACAAGCGCAACTGCCTCGTGCGCAGACGTATAGACAGGACAGCAGATAAACAGGTGAGTGGTCTCATCACGTTGGCTTCTATCAAACAGATTGAAACTGTTGTGTTGTGTTGCTCTTTCGATTTCTTCCTCTTTTTTTTCCCTTTTTTTTTTCCTTTTTTTTGGGGAGGCAATAGTGTAGAGCTTGTGCAGCCATGCATGAGTTGTTAATTTTTTTTTTTTTTGAGCCAAGGTGCATGCTTTTTTTTTTTTCCCCTCTCACCATTTTTCCTGTCTGCATGCGGGGGGAGAACAAAAAGAGAAAAGCGACATAACGGAATGGGAAACGAAGAACAATGAAGAGTGATAAAGAGAGTGTGATGAAGAAAGCTGTTCCCCTTTTGCGTATGCGTTGTTTGTCTGTTTGTTTGTCTTTTTTTTTTTTTTTTCTGATCTTCCCACTGCCCAAGTCGGACACAGACATAAGCAGACACTTGTGCATCTCTGCATCTGTGGGGGCATTGGTGTCGAATTTGAGACGGCCAAAAGTGGAAGTAGCAAACGTCGCCGTGTCTACACAACGGGGGGAAGAGAATATGGACTTTCTTTTTAATAAGGGAAGACTCGGCCCACTGAAATGATCACGGTTTGGGGGATTTCCCACGAATCGGGCATGTTCACCTCGTTGGAATGAAATGCGTATGTGCAGCTCCTTCGCCTTCTGCTTTGGCGGTTCCATTTGGTAGTTCCTTTTTTTTCTCTCTCTCTCTTTTTTCCTTCTCCACAATCCCTACCATAAGGATAAAAATAAATTAACTGTATGCACACGTGGAGGTTTCATCTCTGCGCACGGGCGGTGAACTATGGCTCATTTAGGGAGGTTGAAAAACTGAGGAGACTTGTTCTACCGCAGGGTGGGCAGTCCAACTGAGCACCTCCTCCGCTTCCCCTCTCTCTGCAACAGAAGGGATCACGAGTGTAGCCTACTCAGAACAGCGCACGTGTGTATACGATGAAGGAACCATTTTCCTCACCCCCGCTGGTTTGTTTCCTCTTAAAATGACGAACCCCTGGGGGAAGAGGACCCCCATTTGGACATCAGCCATTTTGAAGATCCATTCTGAACCCCCCTTATGAGGGTAGAGTTCGTGGTGCTGCGGCTGGCAACGCTGGGGGACGACTACTTGCGGAGTCAGCTCGCGTGCTGGCTGTAACATCGCGTCCCATTTTTTTTTTTTTTTGCCAGTTGGAGTGTAATTCCTCCGTCCCAATTTTGGCTGTGGTTAAGGGGGAGAGTTACTCGGGGTTGTGTGTTGATCCTCTTTCCCCGGGCGAAAGCGACTCCCCAGGGGAGGGGCGTGCATGATGAGCCTATTCTCGACGCGTGTGAGGGTGTACAAAAATATGTTTCCATATAGGCATGTAAATATATAA